CATTATGTAAACTCACCTTAAAATGCAACCATTGCTGGTTCTAAAGCAGGACACTGGCTCCTGACACTCTTCCCCTCTCTCTTACTCTTTTTGTCATTCTGGGGAGCAGCAGGAGATAACAGCAGCTGGACAAGCTTGTGGGACTTTGAAGCAGAGCTTAATGTAGGAAAAAATATAAAAAGTATAAACACTGTGCATAAACAATAATATTCCTTTTTCCACACAGCATGACTTGTGTGTGCTAAATTAATTAGTAAAAACGGTCTAGCACAAACATGAAAGACTCTACTTCTTGATAACTGAATTGCTGTACAGTCCCATTTAATTATAGTCTATTCGGTTACCATGGAGTTACACTCTAAGGTCTGTGCTAGAGGGGGCTTTGTGATCAACTGCTATCAGACTACTGTGTGTTTAGACTTATGCACAGCGACAACTAAAGTCATTTCTGGTCTTACAATTATAGCATGATGGAGGAGGAGATTCAGGTACGTTTATTCAGCACAGTATGCACTTATATCCACTTAGCTACTCTTAGTGTTGGAAAAAAAAGGAAAAAAAGGTCAAACAACCGTAGTAATCATCAGATTGATACTGCAAGCACTGTTTCAATTTAGGCTATGGACATGTGCCTCATTCACTTAAAAGTTTTAGCGCAAAATGTCAACTGAATTCAACAGATGAACTTCAATTCTGAATTGAATTCAACAGATTGTGTGCCACTTGTCCGCAAATACTAATTTGATAATACTTTTTTTTATATGACAAAACTACACAAAGTCATGTTTCGAACCTCTCATTTTGACAAAATACTTGCTACCAGGGTCATCAGGACCATGTAATTTGTTTGTGATTTCAGTTGGTTCTAAATATTATGAACTTATTGATGAATCATGACTTCTTGTCATTCTAGCATACTCCACTCATTATTTTTGCCAAAAAATAGTAAGTGTAGCATGCTATTTCGAATTCAGCCCCAGTAAAGCTAAAAGCCAGGAAGCATTGGTAACCTTTCTGAGGTGGAGAAAATGGGCAATTTTACCAGTAGGTGTTCCCAAAAAAGGTTGATTTTATAGTTGATTGCAAGCTCTCACATCTTTCTCCCAGCAGCACGGATATGGTAAGCACAGAGTTTGACTGTCTTAGAGAGCCATTCTGAAAAACTAACCTACTTCTATTTCTGCAAATACATTTGCCTCGCAAACTGTTTCTGAAGCTATTGCCATAAGTCGATATTCCTTGTGCATGACATTTCTAAAAATGTAATATAGTAAAAAGTAAACATTTTACAGAATTAAAAAAAAAACATGTTATACACAATATAGCCAATTTAACAACTTATATGTTCTGAGGTAGGTTTGTGGTGTGTCCTGACAGTAAGGGTTGCACTGAGAAAGAGGTGCATTTTGTTTCATGAGCACAGCTTAAACTAGCAGTCATGTGGACTAATCAGACTTTCAGACCCCATATGAAAACATTTAGCTGTTGCAAACTGAAGAGAATAAGCCAAGCAATGATATGACATCATCCTCTTGATATAGTCGTGGATGAACCCAGCCTCCTCTTTGTGTGTCAGTAAATTATAATGAGACTCTGGTGAGACAGCCGTCTCAAATTTCATAAAACACTTAAACGAACAATGAAATCTGTGCTCGGTGAGCAGCACATAAATATTACAGGAGCTGTTATATTAAAAACCAGCATGGAACAAGGGGTTATAAATGACCTACCGACCATGGAGATGATGACGACAATCAAGCTAAAATGACACCCCTGATCATGTAAACTTAGCCCTGATTTTTTTGTCTTCACTCACCTTACACAGCACAGGGGCCAAAGGTAAGATAGCTAGCGTCATTCTACCAAGCCACTTTCATCTCTGACATCATCTTCTTCTGAATGTAGCGCTGTTGGCAGGAATGCCATGACAACCCTCCTCCGGTCTCCAGAGTGGCACATTACAGTTGAAGTGTTTGGACACAAGAGATCAGGGAAGAAGGGATATGGGTGCTAAACTGCTGAGAGCCAATGCATGATGGTGCCAAAAAAAAAAGAAAAAAAGAGAAAAAAAAGCATGTCACAGCACACAATACAGGTTTGACATGATGGCGTTTACCTGTTTCCAACTGAGAACTGGCTGAACTGGTAAACAGGGTCTAAAATGCAGCAAAGTGGGATTTAAGCACAGAAGTTGTTGCCATCTGAAACGGTTGACTTATCATGATCCAGAACGGCAATGTAAAACATATGTGCTTAATAATTCAAGAACACAATTAATATTGTAGAACCATGAGTCTGTAAACAAACAACAAATTAAGCTTTGAAACCTTCAACTGCACAATTGCAGCATAAACCACACAAAAATACATTTACCCTTAATCCATGAATGAACACCGACAGCCTCCCCAGGGTGAGCTTGGGCTTGAAGAAGAAGATCTGGCTCGACAAAGAAAATTGGATTTGGACCACAGTGTGTCTGGATGTTTAAACAAAGCCTAACAGATAAGGAAAGATATAGAAAACAGTGTGATCTGACATGCACTTCAAATAGTCAATGTTTCAGCCAACAGCTTGAAGCATTAAAACTATTTGGAAGGTGTGAGAAGCAGAGGTATGGGGTGATGGCTCAAAAATACAGATTGGTTTAAATTCCTATTGAAGCAGGAAAATAAAAGGGTTGTAAAGTTGTCCTAATTTTGAAGGAAAGTGAAAAATATCTCTTGACAGTGATGCAGAGGCAGATACTTCACTAATCGATGTTGCCGGCGACACCAATGTGGACCATGGTAACATGTAATAGCTACTGAAATTCTAATTAAACTTCTGTGGGATCATGTTTCTTCTTAAATCAAAACTTTCTGGACTTTAAACCACAAACACCTAGCACCCCCTGCTGGGCAAACATCTAGCATTTACCAAGATTATATCAAAGCACCAATTTCTTTATTTAAATGTCATAAATAAATTATATATATATATATATATTTCTAAGAATGTGAAACTAATCATTCATTAAATGTCACTTAGAAATTTAGCACATAGAACATAGGAGTATTTTTTTCCCCCTCACTAGTATATTTTCACTAGAGGCTAAATATATGGGCTGCCATTTATCTGGACCTGTGTAAAGTCGCAAGAGTGCTAAAGAACACCCTTATCCTCTTGTGACACAGGATACTGGTTTGAGTGCAGTGGGATTCAGAGGTTGAGTCATCTGATGCTTCTATAATATAGGGTACCACACACTATGAGGAAAAGGATAATCCAACTGAAGCATTTTCAAAATATCTTTCTCCTGGCAAAAGTGGATTTTTAAAGAGGGGCAATCTCAATTGTTTCCACAGCAACAGGAGACTGCACAAACAAATCCGTGGTCATTGGTCCATCACTTCTCAACAGCATATGGCAGGAAACAACAACAGAATATTGGAGAGAAATCAGGACTTAAATCATTTTATATTAGTGACAGCAGCAGATGTGTTTTAATGAATGACTTACCTTTGGTCAGGGATTTTCAAAATAATCAGCTTTGGCTCATATAGCTGCGAAAGAGCAAGAAAAATCACAAAGCAAATTGTTATGAGCATGGATATGCGAGTGGAGGGTTTTGTACACTAGCAATTATAATAATTAACTACTTATTAACAAATAAATCAAAGAAAAACGAAGCCTGAGACAAAGACGGCAGTTTACAAACATCTTTTATTAAAGAACAGGAAATCCAACTATCACCAGGTTTAAATAGTTCCATGTTAACTTTTCTCTTTTTAATCACCACCTGCAACAAATATTATCCAATATTACAAATAAGTCTATCATAGTAATTCTCATATGAATCTTGATACAGTTTACAACCAAAATGGAAAAATGGATGATGGCTATTAAACAAATTCGTTTCTCATTACAAACTGCTAATAAAATATTAACTAGCAAAGTTTTAACTGAGGTGATTCGTGTCCATTCAATGCAAGTATTCAATGGAACTGGTTCCCAAATCAAATGTTATTGAAACGATTTTCTCGCAAACAAGATTTTCTAGAAAGCAGCACAAGCCCTTGGAAAGCTTTCAATTCTTTCTTGCTCAGTAGGACTACAGGAACTATAACGATTGTTGAATTAGAGTAAGAAACTTGAAGTCAGGGATTTCTAAGCAGAGCTCAGAGGGACGCAGCAACGAAGTAAAAGTTCAGATCTACTGGAGTAAATCAACTTAAAGCAGTAGTTCACTTTTAAAAAAAAACTTTTGCTGATAATTTACTCACCCCCATGTCATCCAAGATGTCCATGTCTTTCTTTCTTCAGGCGAAAAGAAATTAAGGTTTTTGATGAAAACATTCCAGGATTTTTCTCCATATAATGGACTTCATTGGGAACCAAACATTTCAAGGTCCAAATGAGAGTTTCAGTGCAGCTTCAAAGCGCTTTAAACGACACCTGACGATGAATAATGGTCTTATCTAGCGAAACGATCGGATATTTCAAAAATAAATAACAAAGTTTAAGTTTTATAAGCACAAATGCTGGCATTGCTCTTTTCTATGATGCGCGTTCGTAACTCTCCAGTTCCAATTTGTTCAATCAAATTGAAAAAATCTTTTTTCGAGTCAGTTTGTTAATTTCGTTCGTTGGATCAACCAAATGGCTCGAAAAAAGATTAGTTCATTTTGATGAACGAGTTCGAACAGGAGAGTCACGAACGCGAATCACAGAACAGCGCAAGGTGAGCATTTGTGCTTGTAAAACTTAAACTTTGTTATTTGTTTTGGAAATGTCCAATCATTTCGCTAGATAAGACCCTTATTCATCGTCTGGTGTCGTATAAAGCGCTTTGAAGCTGCACTGAAACTCTCACTTGGACCTTTAACCATTTGGTTCCCAATAAAGTGCATTATATGGAAAAAAATCCTGGAATGTTTTCATCAAAAACCTTAATTTCTCTTCAACTGAAGAAAGAAAGACATGGACATCTTGGATGATATGGGGGTGAGTAAATTGTCAGCAAAAGTTTTTTAAAAGTGAACTACTCCTTTAACTTTGGTCTCAGGTCATCAAGCCATGTCCTCCAAATCAACCTGAGCCATATATGCATCCAGCTCTGCATCCAGACGGCTCTTGGACATGGACATGTACTCATCCAGTTGTTCATCCAACAATTCCCGAGAAGGAACCTGATGGATGTTGAATCTGGTCCGGCTGCACCCTGAATGCCCTCTGATAGATGTCGAACTGACAACACCTGTACACACAGGACCAGATATTATAGCCGAGGGAAGGTTATGAATGAAAACATTTGCATGTACTGAAAATAACTGCACCACTTAAGTGAGGTGAAGAATGACTTTTTCAGAGTAACATCAGCCATCTGGCAGCTTTTTAGTATTTCGAGCTATTGAGCATGGCAAAAATGATTAATCAAGAAATTAATTTATCTGCAACAGTTGAAAAGAAATGAAACAGAACCCATCCTAAGCCCATATCCATAACCAGGTAAATTGCTGTAATATTTTCTGTCTATCTGATGTTCGTTGCTAATTGAATGCACTGAACATGTAAACAGCAAAAGGCAGATGGAATTACAGGCATATATTCAATATGCAGGCAATATTAATGAACAGAGGATGTTGTCAGTTTTCAACTGCAGGAAATTGCTTCTGGCAGCTTTATGGAAATCAGAAGAATTTGCTTAGGATTTGCAGAACAAATCAACAACGCTTGATTAGCTGATCAAAAACTTGGCCTAACCAGTTATAGAGAGGTTATGCTGGATAGATATTATCTAAACCAGTGGTTCTCAAACTTTTTCAGGAGGAGGCCCCCTTGTGTAGGGTGAATCCTTTTGTGGCCCCCCAAAAGAAAACTCATAACGAAAACATCCTCAAACGTACAATTTTACTTACAAATTTTAGATTGTACCAAAAACAAATGAATTTGTACAATGCTGGAACAACAGTTCTGTTTGTAGCTTTATGTCTTTGAATATACAAAATTAGTTAAATTGTACATTTCATTAAATATAACAATTTTTTATAAAAAATGGTTTTGACAGTTAACAGTAATATTGTCTGAAAAGTGCAACAAAAGTATTGAATACTGAACATTTGTGATGTTCATAGTAAAAGATGAACACTCAAAAATAAATTTGCTGATTGTAAAAAAGTGCATTAAACTTCTTACATTTTAAGGTAGTAAATGACAGTGGCTCAAGTTTGGTTTGCAAATTTGAACAGCAATCTGTTTTTTCAGCAAGAAACAAAAAAAAAATTCTAGAAATACTTTTTCAATATAGAAGACATACAATTTTATACAGTACAAGTTTTACAATATAAAAGAAATCATGCAATGCAGATTTCACATAGGACAATCCAAACTTACATACAGGTAAAATAATTTTTTTAAATAATTTCATATTCTAGAATTTCTTTGCGGCCCCCCTAGCGCCGTCTAGTGGCCCCCCAGGGGGCCACGGCCCCCAGTTTGAGAACCGCTGATCTAAACAACTGAAGAACTAGTAAGTTTGACAAACCTTGTGGTGTTCCTGAGTGTGGCACCTGCTGCTCTGCATTTCCTTCTGAAGAATTGAAACATTAGGAAAGAGTTGCTGAAGCTAACAATAATTTCAGTCTGATATTAAAAATTCTAGTGCAAAATGGAGTAATGGCATTTTCAGGATGTTATTTTCCTCCAGCATGAAAGTAATTAATCACATTACAGACACAAAAAAGACAAAAGGTGATAGCATGCAGGCTGCAATTCAGTACTTTAGAGGCAAGCATTGAGATGAATAGGAATGCTAATATATACAGGTATTATTATCCACCTTATTTTTAATGTAAAAGCAGGTATGGCCATTGTAACCTGAATTTGAAACTTGCATTTGTTATATTATTTGAATGTATTTTCATCATTATAATCACACTAGTTTGTAGCGCAAACAGTTTTACAATTTATTGCACTTTGCTATTCTTCTAGTTATTTACCAATAGCAGCTAATGAATCAGAAGTCTCACACGTCCACAGAAAATAGCTTACTTTTGAGTAGCAAAATAAGGTGGATAGACATCACTGGCTGCATCCGAATGCTCATGTTACATCCTGTCTATTGAGGTACAATGATTATTGAAGGCAGAATAGGTGCATCTTTCGCTGCCTATGATATCCCACCATCCTGTATGTTTGATTCCGTAAAAAAATAAATAAATATGGCATCTGGCAAGTTGCGGTTGGGGGTTAGTTTATGTAAATGTATATTTTACAGTAACTTTTTTCACTTTTGATGTCATTTCTAGCAGGAAATTACTATTGTAGTAATTAAATAGTTGCTTCATTATCATCTCTCTCTATTTTGTTGTACACAATTAAACCTTTACAATGTCTCAGAAGCCTGTCTGTTTTTCGTGAGGTTCCTTAGTGTGCAAATACTGGGAATCGAGGAACATTTGTTCTCACCTGTCCTTCTAATGGCTCCTCCTCTGGTTCTCATTACTTCAGACAAATTAATTATGCCTCCACGCTGCTGCTGCTGCTGCTGGCCACAACCCCTCTGAACACCTAGAGTGTTGACTACTCCTTGCTGTCTACTCATGCCTGCACACACATGTGCATGTACATGAGAATGAGATGTAACGTCTTGCTGGTGTCTCTCTCACTTACACTGTCACGTCACTCACTTCTCCTTGTGTAAAATCCTTTGACCAGTCCTCTTCTTCCGCCTCCTCCTCTTATTTTCCCCCGCAATCCCACCATGCATCCTCTCCCCAAGGGATAGCCGAGCCTTGCCTTCGCACTCACTTTGCAGAGTTGATTATTTATATTCTGCAGAGAGGAAGAGTAACAGAAACTATTTAGTCTACCATCAGAGATCACCAGCTCCTATATTTTTGTATTTTATCAAACAGAAAGTGTCTGACAGATACATTATGCAGGGCGGCCAGCACAGAAGGTCTGTTGGCCATCTCCAGGGCCAGTTGCTGGTTCTTCAGCGAGGCTGCAGTCTGCAGTTTCACTGCGGAGGTGATATCCATCACATCTGCTGGCTGAAACTTCAGCAAACTAGTGAAACTACAGGGAGGAGCAAAACAAGAACGAGAATTAAGGCACACCATAATATTAGTGACACTCAAGCAGCACTGTAAACACATGGATTTCTTGACAGCATTTTGGGACAACAATAGGATTTTTGCTAAACTAAATCTCACCGGTCATGCAGAGAGATGGTGCATGTGCTGCCCAGAATGATCTTTTGGGGATCCCTAGGATTCATTTTCACATCCAGCTTGTAGTGTAAACGTCAAACAGACAAAACATACGCTAAAACAGTAGAATGAGAAGTCAAAATAGTGTTGACATCTAACTTTAACCCACATTAAACCACATAGGCCTAATTCTAAATGTAACGTTACTTCAACCAAATTGTCGGTGCTTGTTTAGCCCACTGATTTGCATGAAAGTAAACTTAGCAAACATTGTGCTAAACAGATGTCTCGTTTTAATATTTAAGTTAAATATAAATATTAATCATAAAAAATCGAGGTTTATTGATTTCCCACCTTTGAAGTTAGCATCGAAACACGCGCAGTTATGTTAGAATAGGTTTAGTCGGATGTTTTCAGCCAGGTGTGCGGAGTTTGGTACTGTGATTCACACGCTGTTACGGTCCGGCTGATTCATAATATTCTACCGCCCTCTACCGGACATATCAGCACATGGCCACCACAGTCTCTGTGCTAGAGAATATACATTAAAATGAACATTTTCTCACCCTCAACTGTATGAGTTTCTTTGTTCTGTTGGAAAAAAAAATGTTTTCTGGTCCCCATATTATTTTATTATTTTTTCCTTCAAAATATCTTCTTTACTTTTATCCATTTCACTTTTTTCCTAGTTATTAAAATATGAACTGGATAATATTTTTTATACCTTGTATAAAGCTATTTCTATCCACCATTAGAGTAATATGAATCAACATGTATTTATTTATCATATTTATTTCACATCAATTACAATGAATAATTAATTTCGATTCCAAAACGATAAAACATGACATTTTTTCTTTGTTTTTGTTATTAAGTGTTATTAAAAAAACAATCAGACAAACAAACAAAAACAATTGCTTTCGATTTAATAAAATAAACCGAATTCATCTCGTGGTTTCCAAGCATAAAGCAGAAAAAAACCGAAATATGGCCTATATCAATATTTAACATTAATAATTGACTTAAAAAAAAATAATGTTGATAAATGGATAGCTTAGGTTCAACAGTCCAATAGAACTTGACTACATTTTATCAAATTTTAGGATTCATTTTTTGAAAATATGTAGTATTCCATGCTTTCTTCAAACTAATGCCCTGACCGACCCGACCAGTCTCTACGATCAAGCTCAACTTCACGATGCTTTTTTGAGTAACGCAGCTCCAGGCTGACCAGTCTAGGGATCATCAAGACTAGCAAACCATCTCAAGCAGATTTAAAGTTTTTGTTTGTTTGTTAACATGATTAATCTATTTATCTTACTTGTTTGACAAATAACCCTACGTTTGTCGCCAGGGGAGTTAACTCTCTCTCTCTCTCTCTCTCTCTCTCTCTCTCTCTCTCTCTCTCTCTCTCTCTCTCTCTCTCTCTCTCTCACTGGATATGCCCGCGAGCGAGTCAGATTCAGACGGGCGCAGACATACACAGAAGAATAAGCACATGTGACACACATAACATGTAAGTAGTCTTTATATAAACTTTTTATGTATTTAGTACTTAATAGTTGTGGTGGGAGTAACTATACTGTCTCAGAAAGAGTGAAACCGTACAAACTGGTGTCTGAGTCAGGAAGTAACTCTTCGGCATTTCCCTTACTGAAGTTCAGAATGTTAGACACATATAATGGAATGTGATATACTATGTGATATTTATTTGTTTTGTTAATAAATATAGTTACATTGAAATTGAATTTTCTAATTTTCTTCATACTAAAACGTTTGTGTGTTTTTTTTTGTGCTACTGCCCATTAACTTTGGCTACTTGAGAGTCTCCTCAACATCATCACCTGTGTGTAGCACTGTCAGTCTAAATGCCCTGTTCTGAGACCTGTGGTTACATTCTTGTATTTGTATGATTTTGCATTATTGCTGACAAAACTATACAGTGGCCCCAAAAGTATTTAGACATTTTAATCACACTTGAAATGTTTGAATTGAATTGCCTTAGATCAGTGGTTCTATTACACTCTATTACACTATTACAATGGCTTTGCTTTAGTTACAAAAGTTACAAAAATGTCTTTAATGCCAAATATTAATATAACAGTGAACTGCATAAACCCAACACGATTTAGCATTTTATACACATTAGATTGCATTAGATTACAAACCTGTCTCAGAACTAAGTTCAAGTCAAGATCGACAAACCTCTTTTTCTGAAATGTTTTGAGTGAAAAGTATGCGTGTGCTGTATTTCCTTCTTATATGTGTACTATGCGATTTTTTTTTTTTTTTTTAATATCCAATGCAGTGGCATTCATACATTTTAAGTGTTGGTGAAGTGTCCAGGCATATACCATTTCTTTTTTTTCTTTGAAAATAGTGGGAGCAGAATGTCTGTGAATGCCCCCAGCAGCAGTGATGCGTGTTTAAGCATTGTTCACAGCCTGATGTGCCACCGCCAGGGAGGAGAGAATGAGAGCTTCGCCAAACGTGCCATTGAAAGCCTGGTAAAGAAACTCAAAGAGAAAAGAGATGAGCTTGACTCCCTCATCACTGCTATCACCACAAATGGAGTCCATCCAAGCAAGTGTGTCACCATACAAAGAACGCTGGATGGACGTTTGCAGGTCAGAGCTTTAACATCCAACTTCATTGGTTTTTAAAAGAAATTAATCACACGTGTGTCAATCAGACAAATGCATGATCTGGTGAAACTGGTCAGTGACTTCTGATGATGACAAAAGAAGCAAGCTCTATTTAAGAATTCCGGTGAGGAAACAAGCATACCGAAATAGCATCCTATTATATATAGCCAGTTTTTGGTAATTGAAATAAAAATAAAATGTAAATATTAAATGAACAACTTAAACGTTAGAAAAAATTATACTAAACTTGTAAATGTTGCATTAACAACTAAATGACTAAAACTGAAAAAATTATTGAATCTATGTAGATATATAAAAAACTATTAAAAATGAAAAAGCATATAACAGATTTTCTTAAACTAAAATTAAAATGAAACCTTAAAATCTAACAATAAAAGTCAATGCAAAGTATTAATTATTTATACTATTTAACAAAGACCCCCACTCTCTCTCTATCTCTCTCTCTCTATTGTTAGATTTGGCTGAGCAGTCGTTTGGATGGCTCGCCTATGGATTAGATTTCTCTAATACATAAAATACGTTTGACCAGAGTTTGTGTGGGGAGAAAAATTTATTGAAGGTTTATAGTGTAGCAGTTCTTTGGCAGCGATGTTAGCGTGACATCATTTAATAATCTCAACCCAAAGTTTGTGTATGAAGACAAAAGGGCTACATACAATTGAAAACTGTTAGGACCTCCCAAAGGAAATTGATCTGCATTGCAATCTACTCTGAGCAATGTTGTTTCTTTGTCATTCACATTCATCAGTTTTTTATGGGCCATATGTGTGTATATATGGGCCATTTGGTTCACACCTTTACAGACACAATTGATTGCATCTGAGGCACAGTCACAATTTAAATGCATCCGACTAAAGTTAACTGAAATACACATTATCTTTCAATATGTGTGTATTATACTAAAATAGCACAAATACTAGCATGCTAAGCAATGTTGGTCTTTTCAGCAAGGCAAAATATTGTATACCAGGCTGTTGGTATCATCTTACACATTAATAGGCTGTTATTACGGTAAAGTCCAATTATTTTTTTCAGTGTTAATTATTTTTGCTCATGGGACTGACACAGTGTAAACAGGGTATGTGGCCAGTTCTCCACTTCAAATGAAATCTGAACATAAACAATATAATATAAAGCTCCCGCATGTCAGCGTTAATTACATGTCAAAATATAGGAAAACACACACATTTTTCCTAGAGGTTCTATGCAACTTTAACATCTGAAGTGACTGCACTCATGTCATCTATGTTATAGTGAATTTTCACAAAAAAGATTCACTTAAAGAGCCAGCTAATCCAAAAAGCATGCATAAACAATTTAACTGAAAATAAACTGTCACATCATATCATGATGGCTGTTGATACAGTATGATATTTTGTAACGTGATCACTTTTCATGTTTAAGACCAAAAGTCTGGCAGACTTTCACCTCTGCGGCCATCATTTATAACCATCAGAGGAGAATCGAGGTATGAGTGATGTCAACATGGAAGAAATCTTTTCTCCCAAAATAGTCAGCTCATGATTTTAGAGAGAGGAGAGGCTCGTGGAGAATGAGACAGAAAGTTTTCCCTTCCCCCAGCTGTAGACGGGGAGAGAGGCGGGTGGAGGGCGAGGAAGGGTTGTTTTGTCTGAAACACAGGAAAGGGGCATGGCCAAGCTTAAGCCTGTCTGTCTCGTAGTCTGTGTATGTGGAAGAGAAACGACTGTGTCAGTATTTGAAGCATGAGTGCAATGCATTCAAGTAGTACATTTATGCAACAAGTTCTGAATGTATGCGTTCATCCGTAATATCCGTATGCAACTCTGTTTCATGTCACGCACCGCTATTAGGGTTTGTTAGTGTAGAAATGTTATGTTTATGAAAATGAGAGGGTTCTGAGAGTTTAATATGGTGCTCTGTCTGTGTGTGAGTTTGTAAAACGTAATGGGTTTGGCAGTGAACCAGCTCCCTCTGTCTGTGCGTCGACTGTTTCTGCTTTGACTCGCTCAGGAAGGTCAGTCTCCTGGGTGGAGAATGGTAAGTCATTCCAATAGCAAATGAGGTCACAGTGTGTTGCCACTCACACATGATTTAGAGAAGATGGTCTGACAGCAGAGTCAAATGTTTCTCTGTACGTTTTATCTTCTGTTCCTTCTCTTTCTCTGACTTCTGTTCATTTGTAACATCTTTCTGTGTGATGTCATGCTCCTGAAACTTTTGAATGACCTTGACTGCACCATGAGCTGTCAGTGACTAGATTATATTCTGATTGTACAGTAGGTCAGTTCTGCATTGTAGAGCATCCCTGTAATATTATATAAATATCCAGCCTTGGCAAACTTAAGATAAGATAAACATAAAAAATATATATCTCACCATCCTCAAACTTTGGTGTAATATTATATAAATATATGTATAGTATTATTATAATTTAAAATAAATAAAGCACTAAAACAGTTTCTTTAAAACCAAATACACTACATTTTGAAAGAAAGAAAAGTATACAAATATATGCTGCAATTTGAAAGTTAGGGGTCATTAAGAATTTAATACAGTAAATATATATATATATATATATATACTTTTAATTCAGTGATTATGCATTAAATTGATCAAAAGTGGCAGTAAATACTTATATTTTTACATTTCTATTGATTATAAAAAAAACATTTAATTTTAAATAAATTTTAATTTTTTTAATTTTAAAAAACACATTTTTTAAATAAATTTTTTTAACCAGTTTTTTTTTTTAACCAACCAAAAATGTTTCTTGAGCATCAAATCAACATATTAGACTGATTTCTGAAGGATCATGTGACACTGAACTGAAAATTAAGATTTTCCAAACCAGAAATATATTACATGGTAAAATAATCAAATTGTAATAAAATTGTTCAATATCACTTATTCTCAATTTACTGTATTTTGATGAAATAATTGCAAACTTAAGATACTTCTTTCAAAAACATAAAAAATATACATCTTACCATCCCCAAACTTTAGAACGGTAGTGAATATGAAGCAAATTTGACTAAATTAAAAACCTACCATTCTGAAAATAAATCATGAGATTAAAAGCAATTCATTATTTTTGAGCCCTAATATGCACATAAAGTCTCATAATTAAGGTCTGTTAAACAAAGATGAGACACCATGATGGTCAAATTTTCCAGTCGTGTTTTACATCACATTATAGCTACAGTCTTCCATTTCATTTGGCAAAAAGTGTAACAAACTCATCTATGTCGAAGCCATTAGTTATGTCTTTCTCGTGAGCCAAAATCATCAAATTCATTTTTCTCTGAGAACTGAATAGTTCTTTTGAACGGTGTTAAGACTTGGGGCAGGGTGGAGAATGAATATGATACTGAGGATACATGCAGTCCAGGGAAATTTTCAGTCAGCGCATAATAAATAATACTAAATAGATATAAGAAAAACAAAATGATCAACAAAAAGGTAGAAAAGGATCCTTCTCTTTGCTAAATGTTCGTAACTCAATTCTATGTAACTTTTAACCCTTAATATTAAGCAATCTCTGTAAATCTCTGTAGAAATGATTTAAGTAAAATATATTGTATTATTAATATCACACTAAAAGTTTAAAAAGTCATAGCTGTGAGAGTGTGAATTAAACCCTGTTATAATACTGTACTGTTGACATCAAAGTGTTGTCATTGCTCCTCAGGTGGCTGGGCGGAAGGGTTTCCCTCATGTCATATACGCTCGTCTGTGGCGATGGCCGGACCTTCACAAGAATGAACTCAAGCATGTCAAGTTCTGTCAGTATGCATTCGATCTGAAGTACGATAACGTGTGTGTGAACCCTTACCACTATGAGCGAGTGGTGTCCCCTGGGATCGGTGCGTATGCTTCTAAAAACACAAACTGCAATGAAACAAACACAATTTTTTTAGCAGGGAAATATTTTGTTAAGGAACCTGCAGTATATTTGATTTTTAGTGATTTTATTATATAACACAGTGTTCTACGTCACTTTTTCTTTCTTCTTGTCTTGCAGTGGGATTCAGTTTGCCGAACACAGGTGAGCGGAGCTCTGACTGAATAATGGTGGCTATTAGCGCTTGTATTTTTTCTCCACATGTGAAAGAATGTCTCAAACAATCATTTGGGCTAATCGCTGATGGCCCTGATCATCGCTATGCTGCTGGCAGCCAGCCTTTAATCAGACAGAGACTGCCATAAAATGTGTCAGATCAAGACATGCAAGGACTCGCCTTGCAGTGAGATAGACAAATGAACAGGGGGATAGAAAGGAGCTCAAAGATGTTTTGACACTCGTTCTCATCCCTCAGGCAGGCTGATAAAAGAAGAGCACATACATGACTGCATCCAGATGGAGGGTCCGCCGAGTATGACCTTACATCAAGACCATCATCCTCCAGATCACTACAGCCCACAGCAACTGAGACTGATGTCCCCAGAGCCGCCCCAGCGAACCACTTCCTCTGTCACTCTCTACCCCAGTCTGCCCCTCTCTCCACCCTGTAAGTATAGCAGAGTTTATTTTATTTATTTAGGAAGTTATTTAGCTTAATTTAAATGTATTTTATTTATCATATTGATAGATTCATTATGAGTGAGGGTGATTTTAGGTTTAACTGACCCTGATTGGTTTTAGAAGGTATTTCCATAAGACCAAACAAGACTATTTTTAACTTGACTATATAAATATATTAAAACACTTTACAATAAGGTCTTATTTATTAACATGAATTAATGTATTAATTAACATGAGCCAACAATGGGCAATATATTTTATTCATGTTTGTAACCATTAGTTAATAAAAACTACAGCTGTTCAGTTTCTGTCATGTTAGTTCACAGTGCATTAACTAATCTTAAAAAAAGTTTTGTTTTAAATATTTACTTATGTAAATATGTTGAACATTAACTGTGATTAATAAATGCTGTAGACATTCGTAGTTTATGTCAACTAATGAAACCTTATTGGAAAGTGTTACCGTATAATATGAATAATATTTTATACACTGGCATTAAAAGAAAAAAATCCAAACTTTTGACTGCTAGTGTATATCATTTAAAAATACTTAAAATGTGATTTTGGATCAGTTGAAAATCGATAGTAAAATTAATTTTCTTTTTTTGTGTTTTGTGCGACAGTACATGCTTTAGCTGTCACGTTGGTGGTTGCACCTTACTAGCTGTAACTACCAGTGGAATCATGGCCTCTTTGTTGTATTAACACAATTTATCTCATTCTCTCTGTCTTTCTTAAAGCGAGTGCTTCCAGGTTGTCCATCCAGGTAGAACGACCTGAGGGACTGTTGCAGATCACCTCCCCAGCGGGACGGGCATTAGCCTCCAGCTCTCCACCTTCCACCCCAACACACAGTCACGTACCCACACACAGCCAGCCCTCGTCCCAGCAGCCCTCTATCAGTCAGAGTGAATACAGCACCTCCAAACACACACAGACACAGGGCTCTTACCACAGTAAGTGCATGCAGAAATCACGTAGTGTTCGCCATTGACAGTCTTGAATTTTATCACTGAGACTTTTGAGGTTGTATATGTTTGTAAGGCAATTCATTTGTGTGATGTTATCAGTGAAATACTCATATATGAAATCAGTATAAAGTCTTGTTAAATCTGCTTATTATGTCTCAGCAACAACCTGGACAGGGACCAGCACAGCCTCTTATACTCCTACTGGACCACAGCAGAATGGGCGGAGTCAACAACAAGCCCCTCCCCCTCATACGAGCCACTTCTGTATGTAAATACTGATCATGTCAACTGTTTCTGTAAAATATATATATATATATATATATATATATATATATATATATATATACATATATTAGGAACACCTGTTCAATTTCTCATTAATGCAATTTTCCCCAACACCATTACACCACCACCCTGCACAGTGGTAACAAGGCATGATGGATCCATTTTCTCATTCTGTTTACGTCAAATTCTGACTATACCATCTAAATGTCTCGACAGAAATCGAGACTCATCAGACAAAGCACCGTTTTTCCAGTTTTCAACTGTCCAATTTTGGTGAGCTCTTGCAAATTGTAGCCTCTTTTTCCTATTTGGAGTGGAGATGAGTGGTACCTGGTGGGGTCTTCTGCTGTTGTAGCCCATCCGCCTCAAGGTTGTGGCTTCACAAATGCTTTGCTGCATACCTCGGTTGTAACGAGTGGTTATTTCAGTCAAAGTTGCACTTCTGTCAGCTTGAATCGGTCGGCCCATTCTCCTCTGACCTCTAGCATCAACAAGGCATTTTCGCCCACAGGACTGACACATACTGGATGTTTTTCTCTTTTCACACCATTCTTTTTAAACCCTAGAAATGGTTGTGTGTGAAAATCCCAGTAACTAAGCAGATTGGCCCGTCTAGCACCAACAACCATTCCATGCTCAATATTGCTTAAATCACCTTTCTTTCCCATTCTGACATTCAGTTTGGAGTTCAGGAGATTGTCTTGACCAGGACCACACCCCTAAATGCATTGAAGACAATGCCACGTGATTGGTTGATTAGATAATCACATTAATGAGAAATTGAACAGGTGTTCCCAATAATCCTTTAGGTGAGTGTATATAGACCATTTCACAAGATGTAAACAACACTGGTCCAGAAGCACTTCCTGTTTCAGTTTTTTAACACTACATAAAAGCTGGGATAAAATACAACCAACAGAACATATCAAACTGAATCAAAAAGTTTAACTGACATCTTTAAGATGTTTTCTTTACACGTGAAATAAAGAAAACAGTTACAAACTGAAACAGGAAGTGTTTCTGGACCAGTGTTGTTTACATCTTGCAAAATGGTCAATACACATACACTGTTGTTCAAAAGTCTGGAGGCAGTAAGATGTTTTTCAAAGAAGTATCTTGTGTTTACCAAGGCTGCATTTATTTGATTAACATATAATAAAAACTGTAATATTGAGATGGCTAAGCTGAATTTTCAGCATCATTACTCCAGTCTTCAGTGTCATATGATCCTTCAGAAATCATTCTAAAATGCTGATTTGATGATCAAGAATTATTACTGTTGAAAATGGTTATGCTGATTAATATATTTGTGGAAACAGTAATACATGTTTTTCAGGGTTTTTTGATGAATATAAAACTCAAAAGGACTGTGTTTATTTGAAATAGAATTGTTTGTAACATTATAAATGTTTTTATTGTCATCCTAATGTTTATATATATTGATACCTTGCTATTTAATGATATACTTCTATTATAAACAGTATATACATCTCTCTATCTACTTAAAAAAAAATATGTGTATACTGTTATCAGGGTCTCAACATCACACACCAGCCTCATACCCTCAACCTGTCTCAAATCATCCAGGTATAACATGCGCCCCACCACCCCCACCCCACATCCCACACTTACTTAAATCTACATGAACACTGAAATGAGCCTGTTTGTCATTGTGTGTACACTACAGGCCCAGAGTTCTGGTGCTCAATCTCTTACTTCGAGATGGATGTGCAGGTCGGGGAGATGTTTAAGGTTCTAGCAAACTGTCCTGTGGTGACAGTGGATGGATATGTGGACCCTTCGGGTGGGGACCGCTTTTGTCTGGGTCAGCTTAGCAATGTTCATCGAACTGATACCAGTGAGAGGGCACGGTCAGCGATCATTCAACATAATAGTTATACACGTTCATTCATATAGTATGCAATTGACAAAGATGCAAACTTATGAACACCTTACATCCAACCAACAGGCTTCACATTGGTAAAGGTATTCAGCTGGAGTGCCGTGGGGAGGGGGATGTGTGGATGCGTTGCCTTAGTGACCATGCTGTCTTCGTGCAAAGCTACTACCTGGACAGGGAGGCAGGGAGAGCACCAGGGGATGCTGTTCACAAGATCTACCCAGGAGCCCTCATTAAGGTTCACCTCTAATGACATCACACCTTTGCAATGCATTATTCTTTGCAATCAAATCCAATCAGACATCAAAACCAGAAAGGGTACAGCCTTGTGTCAGAGTACTATAGACGAATTGGCATTGTAAATCAGTTTTTTCCAAGAAGCAAGCACAAATCAGTCAAATTCATCATAAATTTGTGAACAAGGACTGAAATATTTGGATCAATTGTCCCAAGTGCTGGTGAACTAATTCCATTTTATTCCTCCAGGTGTTTGATCTTCGTCAGTGTCACAGGCAGATGCAGCAGCAAGCGGCGACTGCACAGGCAGCTGCAGCTGCGCAGGCTGCAGCGGTTGCTGGAAACATCCCTGGTCCTGGCAGTGTTGGAGGAATTGCTCCTGCCATCAGTGAGTCACTTGTCCCACAAATTTCGATTTTCCAGTTCTGAACAATCTCGGTAATGATTCTTAAAGGGTTAGTTTACCCAAAAATGAAAATTCTGTTTTAATCAAAACTGGTAGTCAATGGGGAATGAGATCTGTTTGATTAAAACATTCCTCCAAATATCTTCCTTTGTGTATAGCAGAACAAATAAACACATAGAGGTTTGGAACAACATGAGGATGAGTTAATACTGACAGAATTTTCATTTTTTGGGTGAACTAACCCTTTAAAACCCCAAATGCCTGAACCGCTTTTCATCAGTAGTGTGTTGAATCTACAGCCCCATAACAAAAGAAGTAATATTTTAAGTTTGTGGACTGAATTGAACATCATGTGACGAAAAGTATGTTTACAAAATTATGCCAAGAAAATACAGCTTTCTACTGAGTTGTCATCACAAGCTGCATGCAATATCTTACAGCATGACACATTTAGCCCAATTTCAAATTGACTCCTCAAACAAATGACTCCTATGAACGGGTTGTTTTTAGTGAATCGAAAACATACAGCGTGACCAAGTGACCAGTGTCTGATTCACAAGTAAATAACTCTAATGAACCCATTTTTTTAGTAAATCGAAAACAAACAGTGCAACCAATCTAGTCTGATTCACAAACGTAGTCCAGTTCAATAAAAACTTGAGATTGTCATCATAAAAAAGTAAATAAAAAAAAATCGTAAAAAAAGACTCAGAATTGAATGAATCAGAATTGAACCATGAGCTAGTAAATCAGAATCAAATCACGACACTTGTCCTGCCCTAATTTTGAAATTATGCTTTTCAAAAAATGTGGTTACTTTCTGTAATACACACTCTCCCTTATACATTTTCATAGGTCTGTCAGCGGCAGCTGGAATAGGTGTTGATGACCTGCGTCGTTTGTGCATCCTGCGTTTGAGTTTTGTAAAGGGTTGGGGACCTGACTATCCTCGACAGACCATCAAACAGACACCATGCTGGGTGGAAGTTCATTTACACCGTGCCCTGCAGCTGCTGGACGAGGTCCTGCACACCATGCCCCTCGCTGACCCCGGACCTGCCAACTGACCCACAGACTGCAAAATATACAAGTCCTGTCACAAAAACAGGAATGACTGACAGAGAGACACACACACCTGCACAAGCTAACAGTGACTCATAGTACCACATACACACATAAGCCGTCATGCCTTCACACACAGTTTTTCCACAGCCGTGGCCAGCATAGTGCCTCTGAACTGACCAATGTTTAGTCCACTCTTCGGTTCTGTTGACTCAGTTGTCATGGTAACACAGACCAAATGCCCCTCTACTGAGTTCAGAAAGATCCATATAGCTGAACATATGATGGGCACTGTTAATATACTTAAAGGGATAGTTCTAACCTAGAAAACTCTCCGTTGACTTTCAAGCTGGAAAAACCAAACTGTAGTCAGCCCAATCAGATCGTGTATAGAGTTGGTGGGCGGGCTTAACATATTGAAAACAGAGATGCGACGGTTCACTGCTACTTGAAAACAAACTGTCTTTCGATTCGGCTTTGGCCCTGATTCAGGATGATTTAAAGTTTTTTAAAGCTTTTCTTTAAAACGAACAAAGAGAGGCACTTGAGTCATTTTTAATGAGAGGAAGATGTGTTCTGTGTGTAGATGTGTGAGATCGCTCTGACTGCAACAACTTCTTCGTTGTTCTGGTTGGTTGCAACACTATCCTATTGCGTGCAGAGGGAATTTGAAAGACAACCGTTTATCCCACCCCTCATATTGAGTCCTGTCAATGGTGAGTTTCCAGTCCTAACATCCTGATGTAGGTCTGGCATGCCAGGCTAGGATAGTTAACCTAATAATGAAAATTCTGTCATCATTTTCTCACCCTTATGTAATTCTGAACCCATAAGACTTTCGTTCATTTTCATTTACGCAACTACCAAAAAGTTTATAAAGAGATTTTAACTAATCCATATGAAGTTAGTCCAAATTTTCTGAAGAGATCGCTTTATATAATATACAAATTGAATTTAGGCTTTTATTCACATTGACATTAATCAACACACTCATCAGATATGGTAAACAGAAGCTCGAGCTTGCTTGACTTGACGTGCGGGAACCAATGAGGTTCATGCTTGTGTGTTACATATAGCATGTTTGAACTGTTTGCTGATCAATATTTATATGTGAATAAATTCCTGAATTCAATCTGTTTGTCATATAAAGCGATTGTTTCTTTCCAGAATTTTTTTATTAAACCGCCAGATTTGTTACAATCTCTTTATGAACTTTTTGAAGCGTCAAATCGGTAGTTGCGGAGACTGTCAATGCGGGGACAGAAATCTCATTATTTCATTAAAATATTAATTTGTGTTCTGAAGATGAACAACATGAGATTGAGTCACTGATGACAATTTTTTCATTTTTGGGTAAACTAACCATTGGATTTTATATTTATATTTTACCCTTTAGAAGGGTACTATTATGCCCTTTTACAAAGTCTGGATTTTGTTTTTGGTTGTGTACTAAAATATGTTTTCATGCTTGATTGTTAAAAAACTACATTATTTCTCATATATTTTACATTATTACAGCACCTCTCTCCCCAGTCTGGCTAGATCAGACACGCCGATTTCGATGAAGCCCCTCTTTCCGAAATACAAAATGCCCTGTGATTGATTGGTTAGCTGGCCCAGTGTGTTGTGATTAGCATATGTCCCATCCCTCCATAACTGCAAGTTCTTCTCTAGTGTAAATATGAATAAGGATGGCGTCAATTTCAAACCAATTTGAGGCGATTCAGACCCGGACAATGATAACGAACAAGGGGACAGTGCAGAATGAGTGGACATTTCAAACTAAAGGGGACATGTTTGTAATTTTCTTATACATTATAGATGTTATCCACCATTTAATAGGGATATTTGTCAGAAAACTAAGGTACTACAAAAAGTAATCGATCACAAAATCATGGCTAATGTTACTAAGGAGTTGTGAACCATCTTACAAAAGCGAGAGCTTACAGAAAACAAATGTGCAGCGCAGGAACCGTGTTTAAAATAAATATTAACTACTCCAAGTTCGTCAGCCTTAGGAAGGTCAAACAAATGAGTTTTGGAACAAATGTTGTTAACACAGTGTCTCTTTGACATAGCGACAACAATGTCTTCTTGATGCAGCTCAGCAAGGCCTGGTCCCTTTTTTGTCTTGAATTTGAAAAATTGCTGGGCTGGGCATTTAGGGTTGCAAAATTTCCCTTCTATTTTATTAGAACACTAAATAAAAGTTTCATAACACAAATGTATTTCAAAAATAAGATATACAACCAGTAAGTAGAGTCATTAAAAAATTAAGAAATGCCAATATTGGATCATTTTAATTGTGTAAATATTTTAAATATATTACCAGTGATTTTAATACCATTTTATTAAATATGTTATACATTTTAATTATGAAACAGCTCTCTCTTTTTTAATATTCTTCATAAGCCTCCATTGTGTGAGAACAATAGAAAAATGTTTGACCCCTAATGCCCAGTGTTGCATTATTTTATCAATTTATGAGTGTCATCTATTCTACTGCAACGTCACGTGTAGTTTTTATCAACATTAGTGAAAATTAGGTAATTAATTGCTTTATACAAATGTTGCAATTCTGCTACACTAGGTCTCTTGACTCCATCTGATTTATCATAGTTCTTAAAGTGGCAGCTGACCTCAATGCTGAGTGCAGGCAGGACATCCATGAACAAATGCATTTAAAACCAGCTAATAGAAAGGAAAAAAATTGCTGTTGTATACAAACCCGTTTATTTAATCTGACAAATCTTGAAATGAGACCAAAAACAAGTGAGATCAAAGAATCTACAGTTTTGAAGACAATCAACTTGTTATGAATACCATAATAGTTTATAATTCAGTGATACAGAGATAAAAGTTTTGTTAACAGTAGGATTTTCATCTGTTAGGCTATACATGAGTGATGCCATAACAATGTGCCATAACAGTCTGACACATTTTCAAGCATTTCTTTCAAGCCATGACACTGAGACAGGAGTGAGGACACCTAGTGGTTATTTTTTGAAAAATTACATTCCATCATTCACAGCCATGCGTTAGACTTGAGTTAACTTACATGACGGTTGTTTAAGCTTTATATATATTACGAATTGAATTGAATTCCAAGATATGTGCTCACTAAAATTGTGTATTGTAGGATAATATATAAGGGGTCTGCCACTGAGTGGGGCCTCCAAACATGTGTTCCGTGACTACATTCAGAATACAGCGCACACTCAAGTGCCATTTTATTCCATAAAATGGTCCCTACATAATAAAAAAATATTAAGAAATGTGAACTCTGGTAATATCTGTCCGGTAGAAGATATATGGCGCCTGGCATAATGCACTAACAACAACCATAAAGAACAACTTTATACTTAAAGCAACCCTCTGGCCTCATGGGATAGGAGACCCATGGTCTGGGTTGCAAAGTACACAATCTCAGAAGGTCACTGATTACCAAACTTTTTTTGTCAGCCAAAGCATTTGATTTGAATCTATCAGAAATATTTGCTTGGTGTACCTTGTGAGATATTAAAGGGATACTCCACCCAAAAATAAGATATTCTTAAGAACGATTGGAACCAGTTGATGGGCACCATTGACTTCCATAGTATTTTTTTTTTTTTTGGAAGTCAATGGTTCCAAACAACTGTTCAACTGTTCCAAATCGTTCTTCAAAATATCTTTGTGTTCAGCAGAAGAAAGAAACTCATACAGGTTTGCAACAACTTGCAACATGACAGAATTTTCATTTTTGGGTGGAATATCCCTTTAAGCTAATATTTCAACACATTTTATGTTCATGGTTCTCTAATGACAGACAGTTAATGGTCTCATGATCTGCAGATAAATGTTTATGTTTACTAAATGTTTAGTAAGCATTTTATTTAGATTGCTTTTATTTAATTTTACGTTTTGATTCATCTATCACAAACCCCCTGAAGACTGAAGTTCCCTTATTGGTGAACCCGTTTAGGAAGCACTTCCACAGGTCATCTGGTAACTGCCTATATTCAACTCACTTTTTGCACATCCTACTCATTTAACATAGGAAGGGAGTATGGGTAGTCGAACATGGGTTTTTAGTATTCTAACTCATGTCATAAAAATTACATTATCTTAAAATATTTTTGTAAAGTACATTACGATAACCACGTTAAACCGAACTGCTGGTCTTAAAGTAATATATATATATATATTAAAGTGGTTATTGATCTTAAGGATTCTTTATTTTTATTTAATGTACCTCTACGGATGAAAACGCTGGAAAATACGGGAAGGTGCGATTCTTGGATGCTCTGCTGGTGGGCGGTACTTACGGTCAGACTCTCAATCTGACGCAGTGCATCCTGACGCTCAGCATCCTTCAGTGCGCAGCATCCCACAACGGCCTGGACCGGACCAAACTAGAGGACCCCACGTACTGTAGAGATGTAGACATCCACATTATATCAGCTAAACGAAGGACCGTCGACATCTATTGTTTATTATTCCACGGCTGTTATCCGGATCGCAGCGCGCCCAACCCTCAAAATGGCTGAAATCACTGAAATAAGCGCAGTGTACGGTGAGTAGCTATAGCGCAGGCCTGGGCCATCCCTACACGCCTGAGATATGAATACTACGTGTTATGGATACACCTGACCTGGTTAAGATATATCATTCATTTCGAGTTTTATTGTGGAGAGTGCTTCTATAGAAAGGGAAGTCAGACTCTTTAACCGACACCAGTAGGCTATATGTTGTTCAGGTAGGGATTTATTATAGCGAGCGTTTGTGAACATGGAATGCGTGATGCTAAAGTGGTTTAATGGAGTGATGCGCACATTGCGCAGTGAGATTGAAGCAGGAATGACGTGATGTCTATTCCAGACTGGACCCGAGGGCTCTTTGTTTGTTAATAACGCGCACCGCTGAGATTACAGTCTCCACCCATGTGTCCTCAAAATCACCAGCTATATGGGCTGGAATTGTGCATATGCTCTATATCAGTAACTGAACGATTTTGAGTCAAAAGTACAATTCTACAAATGTGTGTCAATTATTTCTGGTGTTGTATACTGGTTTCAGTAATTTTGTTCAAACCCCTCTTATGTGACAATTCCTAATTTCTGTCATTTACACACCCACATGTCCCAGACTTTTATTTGTGTGGATTAAAAAAGACAGACTTTTTTTTTTCTTCTTCAAAACATCTTTTGCTCAGCTGCTCTTTTACTGTTTTTTTTTTTTTTTACTCCAAGGCTCCCCAATATCCGCAAAATTCAAAGCCACAATGACTTTTCCTGGAAGATAATGATTTACTGGATATTTTTTACTTAAAATTTCTACCCAATAAAATATTTTAGAGCTTGACATAACTTGGAAAATGTAGGCCTACACTCTTTATAAAAATTCCCATGGAGTTAAGATTTTACTAATATGACATTCCAGGTCTAAAAATTACATTTTTGAAATTAACCTGATTCATATAGAGAATGAAAAGAAAAAAGAAAAACAGTTGTTAAGGCAGTAAATTCAACACTTAAGTTGTTTTAGGTTATTTTAATGCCCCATGGGCATTTGTAAATTCAGTAATTTTATTATAAATCAAAATAATACAGAATTGATTTTCTCTACATCTGAATGAAGACAAATTTTATTATATGTTATATTTTATGTTTTCACTTAAATTACAAAAACGATTTATAAAGTATTATCTTTTAAGATGTATAATAAGTGTGTCGTGTCTGAGGGTGTGAGATAGCGTGACAGAAAGGAGTGTCCTCGGATCTGATGCCAGCTGGCACCACAGTGCCCACCTCCATCTGGCATCAGACTCCGAGAGACATTTATGCTCCAGACACTGTTTCTTCACACTCTCACTGTGGGCTGAGCACGGTTTACACAAGGACCTCTTATAGAATCTTGTAAGACAGTATTGTGGATATAAAATATTTTTTTTCTATGTTTTACAATAATATATCTTATCTTATATGGGATAAAACCTGTTAACCTGTTGTTAATTTTTTTTCGCCATGAAAAATGGAATTTCACCCTATTTCCTAAATGCATCTTAATGATTTTATGTTGAACAATTATGCAAGGTTTATTTATTTATTTATTTTTTTAACATCGTAATTTAATTTAGATGGTCATCACTTTATCTTCTAGTAAAACCAGACTTCTCTCTGGTGACTTCTCCAATCATTTAGTCTGCTTAAACACTGCCTATTTCCTACAAACGACTGCAAGCTCGCATTCACATCTTCCTCCATATGATCAACAACCAATGGATTGAACCCATCGATAGTTCCCGCCCTACAAATTACACATTAAAATACAGAAACAAAGGGGCTGTTGCTACTTGTTACATTGTGACTTTAAATAGGTCAAGATTGAGGTTGTTCTGTTTTGCAGCATCATTCTGCTTTGACTGAGACCATAGTGCTGGTCCTGCTGGAATAACTGGCAGTACTAATTTTAGTCAGGGTTGGTAAATTGACCTGAATTGATTCCACTACTGTTGACAGTATTGCTGTTGTAGATGTGTATGGCCATTATCTGGTATGGGAAAGTCAGAGCAGCATATAACATTGAACTTGTCATTTTCACCCGCAAACAGCTTGTTTGTCATTTAGTGGATGTTTTTTTTACATGAAGGATCTTACACTTCAATGATTGCTGTAACATTGATAGGGCTCTTTTAGCAATCCCAAATCCAATCTGTAATATTTTATCTAGCAATGAGTTAATCATTAAGCTACCATCACCCAGGACAGATCGTCTCTGATGTTTGATATTTGATCACTCTACAGTGTCCAACAGTCTAGACACACCTGTCAGGGCTCTAAAGATGTTATTTTGATTTATATCCTGTCGAATACAGAGAAATACACCAAGAATTTAATCATAGAGATGTCTTGGAGGTCAGAGACTTTGCTACTCTCACTGCATTGATTAAAAAACTCTAACAAAACTGTTTACGTGTGCGTGAGGTGGGTATCTCGTCCTTCGGATGAGACGTTAAATCGAGGTCCAAACTTATTAAAAATCCCATGGCACTTCTTGTAAAGAGTAGGGGTGTAAATATACCCCCATTGGCCCTTGCCAATCAAGCCGTCTTAAAAATCCCCATCAACTGAACTGGCTTGATCACTCTCTCTCCTCTCCACCTATAGCTGGTGTGTGGCGAGCGCACTGGTACCATTATACTGTGTCGGCCGTCGCATCATCCAAGTGGATGCTGCACACTGGTGCACACTGAGGACAGAAACCTGTCATTGATTGTAAAGCAATTTGGGTGTACAGTAGTAGGATATGCCCAATATAAATATCTCATTCATTCATTTATCTATCCTCTTTGTTTGCATGTGTTTTTGGTTCATGCGCATCTATGGCCTATGGGATTTTTCCAGGTAATTGGAGCAGCTGTTTTTTTGGAGCCTACCCAAGTCTTGCATCATCTAGCAAGTGGGGTGAGGGTCTTTGTCTGAGGTTGGGTGAGAGTAATAGAGCAAAGAAAAACATACTGGGTGGAGCACTGGCAAATTTCTCTTTCTGTCTGCCTTGTGCTGTTAATTTTGGCTGTAGCTCCATCGTGCTATTATTTTTTGGCTCTTCTTATTTGATTTTTTGTTGCCTTCACATTCTCTTCTCTTTGTCTACATCCATCACAAAAAAATAAAAAATAGCATCCAGTAAATCTACTGATCTCACATCTGTGACCTTATAAATGGCTTTGTGGGGTGGATAGAGTGTGAATTTCAGCATAAAGATTCATTGTTAATCAAACCATGTTTGAGCAGCTCATCTTACAATCGCCATATATCAGCAACATACACTCTCCCACGGGAGTGTTTCTGTTCTGCTGTCATCAATCTTCATCTTAATTTGTCACTGTGTCCTGACAACACAAGGACAGAAAGCTCTAGTAAATAAACTGTCCTTCAGATTTTTGATCAATGTTGAAAACAGTTGAGCTTCTTAATATTTTTTGTTGGATCCATGATCCTTTTTTTATGAATAGAAAGATAAATAGAACAGCTCATCTTCTGTAAAATGGTTTTTACTGACTTTTGATCAGATAAAAATGTTACGATAAAAAAACATTTGAAAAAATCTCTCAATTTTAAATGTAAAAAAGTTTTACAAGACTATATATATATATATATGTATGTAAGCAATAAGGTACGAGAGGCTGTGCTGTATCGCGAATAAGTAACGGCTGAAGAACGTTGTTAGGCACGACGCGAAGCGGAGGTTTGCCAACGGTTTGCCAGCAGGAAATGGTTGCCACACAATATTAAAGTAAAAAACAATGTATTACATGTAGTCCAACTTTCGTGAAGTAAAATCACTAAAAGCCTTCCTTCCGCTAGAAAAAATAGTCCATGAGCGTGAACAGGAACAACGTTCCAATGTGTAAAATGCATGAAAGCTTAAATAAAAACAACATAGAACCGCAGTGTTGCGCAGCGATCAATAGAACCGTTGGGTGAAGCAGTCATAGCTGTGTTTTATCGTGAATAAAGCACAGCTCTTGACCAATCAGCATATGAGGTGCTTTTAAACAACATTTTAACATAGCACACCATTAAATGCCTTTATAGGGCAGTGATTGACAAACGCTCTGATGCGGCATTACATTTATACTGAACAAAAGCTTAAAGACACCTAGACAGAATGATATGATAGGATTTCATGATATTTCATAGCTATGTTGCTGAGTGAGACCGGATGCAGTAGTTTGTTATAGAGTGGTTTGTCTCTGTGTGGGATTATGGGGTGCCTCTGCATCATGTGGGTGGAGTAGGCATGAAGTAGATATTAGAATAAGCCTTCTGTGAGTTTGTCAGTCTCTGCATTTTCTGAGCTGTTGTGCTTTAACCATCTAGATTGTAGAACGAGAAAGACTGTTGTTGTATTTTTTATTTCTACGCTTTAAGCCTGTGAACATCTTCAGGTATGTTTAGACTGTTGGTGAATGTAGAAAAATGTATGTTGTTTTTCAGTCTGTTTATTTTTCCGTCTGTTTTTTCTCTTTTAGATATGTCCCCAGTGCTGGCGGGGTTTATCGGTGCTGGTGTGTTGGTTGTTGCAGTCTTTGCGTTAATCTTTGTGTGGACTTGCTGTCAGAAACATTACAACAGGAGGAACTACAAGCTGCATGGCATCCAATCAGAACACAGTGACCCGCTGACAGACCCGCCGTACAAGTTTATTCACATGTTGAAAGGAATGAGCATCTACCCTGACACGCTGACCAACAGCAAGAGGATCATCAGGGTGGCACGCCAGGCAAGGTCCCAGACCACTGATGGGGCTCAAGGCAGCAAGGGCCGCCCAGTGGTGCTGGTAGATATGGATTCGGCAGCAGAAAGCGGCCTGCTGGGAGAGAAACAAATGCAGATGAGGCTCGGGGAAAGTGGCCACGAGGTTCCCAGTTTGGAGAGGGAGCTTCCCGTGCGTGCGGATTACTGCTGTCTGGACAGTAGCTCTGCAAGCAGCAGTCAGACCTCCAGTACTACGGTTTCCAGCACGGCTACACCCTTCACCCCTGCCGATGAGCCCAGCAGGGGGGACCTCAGCATTGCAATCGACTATAATTTCCCCAAGAAGGCCTTGGTGGTCACCATCCTGGAAGCTCGGGGGCTACCGGCAGTGGAAGGTCAGGTGGGCAGCGCAGACCCCTATGTAAAGATGACCATTCTCCCAGAGAAGAAACATCGTGTTAAGACTCGTGTTCTGAGGAAGACTCTGGAGCCTGCTTTCGATGAGACCTTCACATTTTATGGTGTGCCGTACAGCTCCCTGTCGGATCTCACTTTGCACTTCCTGGTGCTGAGCTTTGACCGCTTCTCACGAGACGATGTGATTGGGGAGGCGATGGTTCCACTGGCCGGTGTGGACCCGAGTACAGGCCGGGTCCATATCACGCAACAGATCACGAAGAGAAGTATGCAGGTGAGAGCGAGCATAACACTAACATTACATATGTTTATATTCTAAATCTAATATGAATATTTATAAAAGAAAATCCATAATAAAACAATTCAATAGTCATTGAATATATATATATATATATAAAATATTTCAAGGTAATATTAAAAAAAGTACTTAAAAAGTACAATGACTTAAGTCTAATTCCTCTTAAGATTTTTGAGTTAAATTGTTTTTATTATTATAATTAATATTATTTGAAATATTGGTATTTCATTTTATTGTCATAAAATAATTGGCATTTAATCTGTACTGCATGAAAAAAGAACCACATGAAGTTGAAATTTAGGTAAAGAAAATATTTAATATTTTCATTACATGAAATATTGTAACATTACATGTATAATATTTTTACATTATGTATACATTATGCAAAACAACCACACAGTAGAACATTGCTGTAAATTTAGTATATACCATCAATAACAATAACTAATCTGACTAATTTAAATTATTTTATGCATTTTATTCATGCTCCCGCTGTGTGACTGATTCATCCGAGTTCTTTTTATAAATCTAATACTTGTATGAGCTCAACACTGAATCATCACTCCCATCCTCCTACTGTAGTTTGTAGTCATTGATAAATGTGCATATCCTCCTGCTCACTGAGTGGGTTTAGATGATGCGTAGACAATCCTGTTGGCACCTACATGAAAGCCTCCTCGTGCCAAAACTCAAGACGTTGAGCTGCCAAGATAAACAAGAAAACAAGTTATTAATGAGTTATCAGCCCAGTCATTTTGTACTTATCATTAACACATCTGTTACTTTGCTAATACACCATGTGTAGAAGAGCTGCTATGACATTATCACTTACCTACTTATGCTGGAGTTCTTCCAGTGCTTTGGAGGTGCATAGAGGACCCAGGGTCTTTTTCTTAAATGTACAGCTGATTTCAATTTCAAAAACTGGTTGTCTTGCAATTATGAATGTAGGCCTGCATGAGAGAGGCAATTTATTTGACCTTTATGTCTGTGTATTTGCATTTCTCCAGTGTGTAAGCCGCGGAGAGCTGCTGGTCTCTCTGTCCTATCAACCTGTTTCTCACAGACTCAGCGTGGTGGTGTTAAAAGCAAAACACCTTCCAAAACTGGACATCACTGGGCAATCTGGAAGTAAGTATATATCTATTTTTTCTTTATTTATTTATTTTGTGTGTTTGTGTGTGTGTAAATTTCTGTTCAAATGTTTTGGGGTCAGTAAGATTTTATGTCAGTAAGTGTCTTAAATGACCACCAAGACAGCATTTATTTGATCAAAAGTCAGCAATATTGTGAAATATTATTACAATTGTCAATTTAAATATATTTTAAAATGTAATCTATTGCTGTGATGGTAAAGCTGAAATTTCAGGATAATTAGTCCAGTCAAAAATCATTCTGATTTGCAGCACAAGAAGCATTTCTTATATTATCGCTGTTGAAAACAGTTGTACTGCTTAATATTTTTGTGGAAACTGTATTACATTTCAGGATTTTTTGATTAATGGAAAGTTCAAAAGAACAGTATTCAGTTAAAATAGACTTATTTTTTAACATTATAAATGTCTTTATTGACAATTTTGCTAAATTGCTGAATTAAAGTACTTTTTGTAATCTTACAGACCCTAAACTTTTTACAGATAGTGTATAATTAAATGACATTTTTTTTTTTTAAATATTAAATGTATTTTTTATTCAAACTATCAAACCAAATGTCCTGTCTTATCCTGTGTCCCAGATCCATATGTGAAGTTAAACGTGTTCTATGGCCACAAGCGCATCGCCAAAAAGAAAACTCATGTGAAGAAGAGCACACTCAACCCTGTCTTTAATGAATCCTTCATCTATGATGTACCGGCTGAGTTGCTGCCAGACATCTCTATCGAGTTCCTGGTCATGGACTTCGACCGCACTACTAAAAACCAGGCCTTGGGGCGGCTGGTGCTCGGCGCAAACAGCCCCTGCCCCTCGGGTGCCGCCCACTGGCAGGAGGTCTGCCAAAACCCACGGCGCCAAATCTCAAAGTGGCACACACTCAATGAATATTAGAGCTTCACCACACTCTCTCCCTGCACCCACTCAAACACAGGCACACAGGAAACGTTGAATAACAAGAGACAGAGAGAGTTTGGGAAAATATGCCTTTGTTACCGTCACATGGAAGGTAACTGATCTTCAGGAGGACTTAAAAAAAAAAGACTTAAGCCAACGTTTACGTCATTGCTGATGTGATGATGGGCCTCGGAAAATAATCTTTTTAAAAAAAAAACAAGTACACGCTTACTTTCTCGCTCAGTTGCTCACACACACGCACGGCCAGAACATAAACACACATGATAAGTAATAAACGAGACCAAAATATTGAAAGACTGTTTGGAGTTCATGAGGTTTAGGATTCTGTAATTGTCATAATGAAACTTATCGCATGTCTTAACACTCCATGTTTCACTCCAGAAGGGAACATTATGTGGATTTGTGATGCCGACACACATTAAGCAAGCTCTTTTTTTTAGGCATCTGATTTTTGGAACTTACATCAAGGGAAGGCTTGTGATAAGTGGCTTCTGATATGTACTGACTCTCCACTGTATGAGCAATGCACCGAAGTGACGCATAGGTTGTATGACCTACGCTAAAGTATGATTTGTTCTGTTCCGCTTTGGCTGGAGATGTTTCAGAGATTCCTGCTGTGTCACATTCTCCACAGCTACAAGTTGAGTCATGTGATTGTACAACAATAACCCCTTTGGCAGCACTCTGGGCCTGATTTATTGCTAGTGCATCAATTCCATCACGCAGTTTGGATAAATCTGGCCCTGAAAACCTTAATCTGCACTGCTATGCTACAAACAATCTCTGAATGTCACTGTCTGTATGAATTTCATACATCAGAGCTTCAATTCACCATAAAACAGAGGTTCACTGTTTCCTAGACTTTACTAGCCCATGTCATCAGATGCTCTTTTTAAGGTGGATTGGATCCGCTGTCATTTTAAATCCTGTGTGATATAGAGATAGACAAAGAGGTGTGTTCGTAGTTCAGAGCTGGAAAGCTCTGGCATATTAAGGGGGCATTCTGAGCCCTCTGGTGTTATGTTTGGGAAATGGAAAGATATGTAGCGGTATATCATTTGTAGTTCATAAAGTCAAGAGGGAATGTATTCATGTAATTCTATCAGTCACCACACGTCTTAGTCTGTTCTTCTAGTATACCTCGTTCACCTCAGTTCCCCTTTTTGTCTTGCACCAATTTTCCACATCTCTCTTTTATGATGAGAATTGGTATAGTCATTTATTTGATTTAGAGTGGGCTTACCCTCAAGATCTAGATGGATTGCATGTGTGCCTGCTGATAACCTGGGCTTTTATCCCTTTGCTCCTCACAGTTAATTTAACAAGCCGGAGGTCAAAATCTGTCTGCATTTCATATGGAGGCAGAATTAAGGTTGGGAACCGAGAATTAGAAATTATTCCATGAGAAAGAAATACTGGAACCAAATGATGTTCGACTCCATTAACAATTCTTGCACATGCATTTTTTCGCTGATTCAGACAATTGTATTAAAAAACTGTTTCCTTTTTTCTCAGTTTCCTGCACAATTTATTCAGCAGTGCCACAAAAACCCTATTGAATCTACAGCGTCAAACAGATAGCAAGCCCAGTGTAGTCCAATTACAGAACAAATTACTCACGATCAATTGATTTTGAACTGAAACCATACAGTGCAACCAGTGTAGTATGATTCCTGACCGAACGACTCCAATAAAAAATGTACAATGCAGTTTAGTACAATCTCTAAAAACAAAAGGACTCTAATAAGTCAGGTCTATTTAATGTATCAAACCAACGACACAACTACAGTATACTGATCAGAGTAGTAACTGACTGGTTGCTCGTATGTGCAGTTAAAATACATATGTGTTTACACATAAAATACATTATGTGTATATTCTCATTAGTATTTTATAAATATTAATAAAAAAATAGTTAAACAGTTTGTTTTTAGTATATATACTTAAGAACAATTATTGGACTGCATTTATTCTGCCTCTTAAAAAGATGACAAGAATTGTTTTAAATGAATTATTACTTAAATTATTTAATAATTTGGCTATGAATTTTTTTCTAAAATATTTAATCCTTAAAAACACTTAAAAAGAACTGTTAATTGACCTTTCAGCAATCAGAACATGAACCAGATCCTTTAAATTCTTCTGCCAAATAGGAAATCTGCCCAGGATTCAACAGATCCAGCAGAGCAGGGACCATCACTGATCTGGGAAGTTCAGAACAAGATGTCATTTCTCAAAAATACATTGCAAACATTCCCACGTAATTCCCCACAAACTAGCCACTAGCAGTCAGCTGGTCGTATGGCACATGGTTTCTCTATCGTAGAGGTGTTAGATTCTAAACTGTAATTCTAGAAGGAAAAAATGCTTCTTTCCATTCAAGCTTTTAACATGCTAAATTCACACTCCCTGTATAAAAGTGCACTCTATCCATCCAGTAATGTCTTTCATGTAGAGGACACTTCTTTGTGTCAGATCACTGGTATGGCAAAATAGAAAGATATTAAAAGAATCAACCCATGGGAGAAACAACACACAGGAGCAAAATAAATAAATAAATAAATACATTTTTAAAAAAGAAGAGGGAAAAAACAAAACGACAAAGTCATTTGTGACCTAAACGATCACTTTGGTGTTCAAAATTAAATTGGCAGGAAACTGAAAAATGTTGTATTAGTGCAAACTAAAAAAATATATCTTGTGAATATTTGACGTATAATGTACTACAAAATGCTGTGAGATCTCTGCTAATGTTACACACTCACCTGTATGTTAGTGTTCTTAACACCCACTGAATGTGCAAAATAAACGTGATACACAAGTGAATATCTCCCTCTAATATGTTTTCACTCTTTTCACTATATATTTGCTTGAGATGGTGATTTAAAATCTGTTGAACTAGTTCTGTTGAACTAAAAAGAAGATATTTCGAAGAATGCTGACAACCAAACAGTTGATTGGCCGCATTGAAAAAAAAAAAATACTGGGCCCAATCGGCCCATCAATTGTCTGGTTACCAACATTCTTCAAAATATCTTCTTTTTAGTTCAACGGAAGGACACTCATACGGATTTGACTTTTAAAGACTCTTAAAGAAAATGAATGGCATTAAAGCTAAACCAAAGCAAATATCTGCGGCGTGAGCAGTGATGTCAATTAAAATGAAATTAAATAAAAGTTTTTTTATAATTTATTTATTTAAGTTTATTTCATTTCATCTTGGAATTTTAATAATAGTATCTTCTTTTGCTACAAAACCTTCATGGAAAGTCTGAGAAATTCCCAGGCTGATTGTTTACACTTATTAAAAGGTCCAGTTTGAGTAACCTGAGTAACTTTTTTAGACGGGAATTGAGACACATGGATATTGAGACAAAGAAGGGGTGATAAAAGTACTTAAAGGTGCTATATGTATTTTTAGCGGCCTCTGTCGGTCATGTAAACCAATTTTTACGAAAGCGCTCGTGCTCTTGCGCGTGCTTGAACACAAGAGTGGCCATGTACCTGATGGTACACGGCCGCACTGAGACTTTCAACACACCGGAGAAAGCATCACACAACCTGCTGGAAACTCATGTAAACTCCCACCTCGACGTTATAATAATAGGCTACTATCAGCTTGACGTTGAACTAATGCTTCATGCTCGCATGATAACGCTAGATTGACTGCATTTAACCGACATGTGGTGTTATCCTTTTTTACAGTCTATGGGTGATATCTAGCATAAGGCATTTCACTAACTATTTGTGTATCTTTCACAATCAGGCAGCAATGTCAACATAGATGAATGTATAATATGATAACGAAAACGGTTAGTGAACTAGACAGAACAATTTCAGTGTAACAGTAAGATCATCTTCAACTTTGCAATGGCGAACTGACTGCTAAGAGCTTGTGTGATCTTTTTTTCAAAAGAAAACCAAGTTTTTCATTGGTTTGGAAAGCCAGTGTAATATATACTTGGAGCAGGAATGGGGAAATGTATCGGAGTTAAAAGTCACCTTTGTCTTAAATATTGTAGTGAAGTAAGAGTGAAAGTAAATGAAAAATAAAACATACTCAACAAGTCAAGTACAGATCCCATATTATATTTACTTCGTTACTGGATATGAGAACACATTAGTCTCCAAAGAGAGCCTTTGTGAAGGATTTCAATAATGACATGGCAATGTGAGATGACCTTAATGTACCTCATCTCCAAAGAAAGATTTTCTCAGAAGAAACCTCAAGCTTTTGGTATAGTCCATTCCTCGTCATTCAATTTCTGAATCAGAACAGGAATGCTGATATAAAGGGGACTGAACACCCATTAAACTTTTGAACTGTGACATTAAAATTATAACTGGCTAGACATATTTGACTAGACTGTATGTACACAGCAGACATATTCTAGTTTAGGAAACCGAATTTCATACATTTATACAACTCTACTTGTCTGTTGATTACAATGATGATTTGCACTGTAACACAAGACTGTCTTTGTCACTGTTAGGTAAACCAATAAACTGGCAAACAACACCATAGAAACATTTTGACATGCGTGGACTGGCCGCACCCTAAACGAGGGGCATCACATGCACCAACCATGAAAAATTACAAAATCATCCAACAAAACCCTGATTTCAGACACTGCAGACAAGGACTGAGACCTAATAGAAAGGGCAAGCCTAGTGGGTTTGTGAAAAATATCTATAAAAGATATATTTTTATTTCTAAATTTTACTACTACTACATTTTACCATCTCAAAGGAACGCTCAACTATCTTAAAGGTAAGAGAACTGTTTCTGATTTGACAGTTTTTGCTGTCTGCTTGAAAATAAATAAAAGCATGAGAAACGCACAATGTCTAGTCACACAACTGACTTTTAGAAATGGGTTCATTTGTTTAAATATAACGGTTTAAATATAGCAGATGGTAATGTGTATTTTAAAATGGAAAATACCATGCATATTGTATATCATCCATCCATAATGGCCCAAAATAATATATTTATTATTTTTTATAACATAATTTAAGGAACATTTTAAATGTATTTTGTCATAACTATTGCTGATGTTCAAAAAGTATTTGAGAGAAGTTGATTATTTTTGGTTTACTGTAATTGTCAGCAAAGACACGTGTCTAACCAGGGATCAGCTACCCATGCATCATATTTATTAGATAATGAAATGCAAATAAGACTGTTTCAAATTCAAATTCACACAAGCTTTACAATTACGGATTTTATCTAAAAATTATTTTTCAACCTATTTTACTCACTATTTAATCCAGCACAAAAGATCCATTTTATTAAGGCAGATTATAAACATGTTCTTTATTGTGATTTTTGTCATTAATGTAAATTTTAATTCAGATTCGATTTTGTTTTTTTGCAGCTGCAGTGCTGGTTCCACTGGGATCTGTAAGAGTGGCCTCTCTGTGCAGTAAGTGAATCTGATTATAAACAGGCCTGTGAGAATGCTTTGATCAGATCTGACACAGTTGGATTTTATTCCATGAGATAACATTCTGAAAAAACCCTTTGATCGGTGGATTTCATTTGATCTAAAGATATGTTCGAGATACTTCAAAAACATTTTGATTTAAAAAGCCTGTTTTTGGATGATTCCATTGGTTTTGGTCGGAGGTCAGAATGTGGCACCGGTGATCAAATGACAGCTTCTAAACCAACCTTCTCACAACATTATTCACCACGGGAAGGTTTTTTGGCCATTATTTAACAGTATTTCACCACAATAATTACTGATGTCACATGACACTGTTTCACTGTTTGAATGTGTCACTTTTGACCTGTGTGGTTAGAAAGCTTAATAAAATTTCCACAGCGAGGTTGTGTCAAACATAGGCTAGTATTGTCATGTGACATCATCTGACTTGGCATGGGCAGGTCAAATGAATAAATACAGATCAGTATTGACGTAGTTGAAATTAAATGATGCTGTCAGATGTCAGAAGAATGTGCCTACTGTTTGGAATTAATACGCTGATATTTGAATCTATATTCACCCATCTACTCAACTCTTCCCCAAAACAGAAGTAAAAATGAAGAAATTAAATTAATAGAAACTCTAATAAGACCATTGAATGTTTTATGTTCTCTGCTCTGCCTCAACAGTGCAAAGCAGACATGTCCAGAACAAGAAACAGTGAGGTGAGCTTTCTTGCCTTGTCACTCTACACTAGTGATGCATTAAACAGCGTTAAACATGACAAATCAAGTGTTAAGTATGTTATATGTTCCGGGCTGTGAAGCAGTGTATATGACAAATCTATATCCAGCTTTTATTTGGGCTGAATGTTTTTCATTTTGTATCTTGTATGTGGAATTGGGAAGTTGCAGGGACGGTAACAGGGACATTAAATAAATTTAAGTTTAAATAAGGTAAAGGTGTTTAGGACAGCTATTAAGGAAATGCAATTTTACAAAAGAAATAACTTTTACTTAAAAGAAATATTCAATTAAAAGCAGCCTACTTCAGTGTAATATGATGTTAATATGATATGATGACATTACCATAATATGATAATATCGATTAATATGATAATATCATCACTCTTAACACTGAGCATTTGAATAATTGTAATGTGCCGATTGGGTGCTAGTCGAGTGTGGATATCTAAAACAGCGAAAATCATAGGTAAGGGTGGATGATTTATTTTTAGCTGCAGATTCGGGTGACATTAGTAATTAGTAATTCATCACTACCATGTTCAATAAGACACTGACTTGCCTCTCCAGGGGAATGTGCTGAAGCGTGTGGCAAAACTGCCTCTCATCAGCTCAGCGCTGCAGCAGGCCTCTTCCGTCTACATGGGCGTGAAAGGTCGTTATCCGCTGCTCGGGTTTGTGGGAGGGGTAGCAGAGCTGGGTGTCCGCAGCGCATCCACAGCAGCTCTGGAACAAGCAGCACCTCTTCTACTGAACCTAGAATCAGAAAGTGAGTCCCACATGTTAATATATGGTATCTCTAACACTGAAATGGCATGAATACTTTTTTCAAAATTTTCTAAATCAAAATGCTCATAAGTATAGACATGACTGGACAAAAGAAACAGATATACTGCTAAAACATAATTTAACATGCAAGTCTAAGAACAATAAAGTGAATTAATTGTATGTGGGCCTTTGCAGTTGAGGCGGTGAACAGTTTTGCACTGGTGGGTTTGGAGCAACTTGAGAAGTTTTTCCCTATCCTCCAACAGCCCACAGATGAGGTGAGTGTGTGAGAGTCCAAGAAAGAAGAGTGTACATAAAGTTTGGTAAAAGCCGACCAATTTATTTTAAATATCAAAATTAGTTGAGTTTTAAAATATTTAAATTAAAATTATTATAATTATTCCATTATTTTAATATTTTGTAGTTGTTTTTTTACTTAAATAAAATAATAAATTATTATTACATTTTTGCACATAAGCAAAAGTAAATACTTTTAAATTATGATTATGTTATTGCTTAAAGGGATACTTCACCTCTGGAAAGATGAATGTGTATTTAAAATGAGTCATTTATGTAGAAGAAATGTGAAATTATTTTTGAATTTGGAGCTTTCTAGACTGAGAAAAGCCAGAAAATGTATTTTTGGCTTACATAAGCCAAAGGGCTGATGCTGATGGTTTATGTTTTACAACAGATTTTTTTGTTTTGTTTGTTTGTTTGTTTTGTTTTTTCAACAAAACATCTGGGCTTGAATTAGACATATGGAGCACATCTTCAAATAAAGTGATTTAAGGAACAGAAGGTTATAGTCGATTATGAGCAGTCAGACTCAGAATATGTCTACTGATATTGAAAGAAAGGGATACAATATGCAGAACTTTATTTGAAACCGTCGCGTGGTATTATAACACATCACATGACAGCATTTGTTTTGGGTTTTTTTAAGATTAAAAAAAAAACATTTTTGTCATTTATTTGACACGTAAACCAATATGGATAATTAATCACAGTAGGCCTAACGTTAGTTACTTGTTTCATTAATGTTCTGCTGTATGGTTACTAGTTCAGAATGACTTTTCGCGCACTTTAGGTTAACGTTACTGAAAGACCATTTGAAACGGCATAATAAAAGAAAACGATTTAAATGTAGTACATTACTGTGTATAAATTAACTTCTTACCTACCTTACTAAGATTAAGTAAGACAAAAGTAACTTTAGCTATGTATTTGTGGCTATTTCTGTTTTAATGTGTCTTTGTTTGGCTTCTGTGCTGTCCCGTCTCTAACCTGTTATCTCGATGGGGTTTTTTTCTGACCCATTACTCTCTTGGTGCTCTCCTGCCTGTCTTCTCTCCTTTTAGGTGGTTGCTAATTTAAAGGACGCTTTCTTCTCGAGGCTGGATGGTGCGCAGTCTCGAGTAAACGATGAGCTAGACAGGGCCGTGAACAGGTGGGATGAAGTGGTAGAGCTCAGCTGGCGTCTCCTGGCGGAAGCTCAGGATTCAGCACCGGGGCGCGTGATCACCGCTGGCCTGGATGAGCTCATCACTCAGTCAGAGGCAGCAGTGGCGTACTATCTACCTCTGCCACCCACGCTGCGTAAGAAAGTGTGATACGGAGTCATCTGAACTGAGACGGGAGACTATTTTATCTGAAATTTTCATGAAATAACATTTTAGAGAAGGTTTACCATTTATTTCATGCGTACACAAAATGTAACCACAAGGGGGCGCAATTAGTCGTATATTTTATGTTAAAGTACTTTATCACAAGTAAAGAGCCATTAATCTCATCATCAGAATAAAACTGCAATAAAGTCAAATTTTGTAACTTATTTATATTGTTTAGTTATATACATTTTTATATTTAAAAAAAAAAGAATACATCATTTTTCCCTGAACCTTTATCATGGACCCCCCTCGCATCCCCATTGAGGCACCCTGGCAGTCCCTGGACCACAATTTGAAAACCCTTGCTTTAGCACCATCTTACTTTCAGAGGGATACAGAGAATATACATAATATTTCATCAAATTAGCTTTTTTTAAATTAAGCTCAGAGTTCAGTTTTAGACTAAGCAGAGCCTCTTTCAGAGTTGATATCTGAATATTGGTGGTTGCATTAAAATCACAAGCACTTTGTCTCATCTTGCAGGTCATGAGTGGGAGAGAAGAGTGCAAAGCTATGAAGATGAGGATGATGATGATGAAGAAGAAGAGCCTCGGATGTGGACGCGGATCCGTAGCCTGTTGTTTTGCCTGTACCTTCAGCTGTACCACAGACTGATGAAACTGAGAGAAAGAGTGGACATTGTTTTGCAGATGCTGGGGACAGCTGCTGAAACGGTAGGCCTGGCCTATGTACAGAAATAATTCATCACTAAATCTTTGACCTTATCTTACCTAAAAGTTCTGTTCAGTGACTCTCTCGCCATACTAACTGCTTCTCAGTGGCTCCGAATAACATTCAGGTATCAGTTTCTGAAATATGTCACACTGATAATGGGGAACCCAGCTTGTTGTATTCATATTCCAATTTATCAATATTCGTACTTTAATCTAAATGTTTTCAGTTGGCTATCCAACACAGAAGTATAAAAAAAGACTTTGGCCCTTCAAAAGAGACCAGGATTATTAAGTTAACTAAAACTAAAACCATAAAACCATTTTTGTTTCTTGAAATAATATAAACATTAACTGAAATAAAATAAAATGTACAGAAATATATTTTATTTCAGCCAGTTGCCAAGAAAACATTTAGTTTAACTTGATGTTCTGAAATAACTAAAACTAACTGAAATAAAGATTAATGAGATTCATAGAAAATAGAAATGTTGACTTTTTTGAAATGCTTCAACTAAAATTAAAATGAAAACAGAAAAGAAAAACTAATTCAAATTATTAATAAAAAAAAAAAAACTATAATAGCACCTCAATGATACTAAAATAAGACTGAAAGAGACCCAAGATGTGAGCCTCAACAATACACACTGACATGATGATATCAACAGGGAGTGCCTCATCAAAATGTCCTCAAACTATAGGCTATCCATTCCACTCTTCTTTGAGTATGAAGTTAAAATAGACACGCTACGTGCTGCTTTAACATGCTGCAGTCATTCACACTGCCCTGCCACCCTCAGGGCTTCCTGTCTAGTCTGCAGACTCACCCTAACTCGCATATAAAATCACAGCAATTACTTGTTCTAAATTATGACCCCTGAGACACATTCAAGCCTGAAAGGACATGGGGAAGGCAGAGAAGCTGTATTACAACATGAGCTGAAACATTGTATATGAGCTTTTTCATACAGTACAACACTGATTACACAGAATTTATTTATGTATTATTTTACAATCATGCTTCTAGTCACTTAGCAGTGGAGTAGATTTATTACCTCAGATTTTGTCGTAGTCACTCATTTGTACACTTCTTCATTTTAAAGTTAGTGTTTAGGCTTAGATAGAGACTTTATCATCAGACTTCATCATTTTATAGTCCAGTATACTTTGGAGTCTTTTAGTGAGTCGTAATGACTATAAAAATAAATGATGGAATGTGTCTGTTTGCATAAAAGGAAGGCAGTTTTGTTGTCCCCTACAAATCAAGGCTGAAATCAAGAAGTCAAGCAGCAGTGCTTTTGATCGGAGTGCTTGTTTAGAAAGAGGATGGTCATGATTGAGCTGAAAACCCTGTGGGACCTAATGCTACGTGCCGTTTGGCAGTCACTGCATGTGACTTGAACACCCACTAACCCATGAGGAGATTTGGAGATAGGGAACAAATACTTCTAGTTTTATATGCCTTCAATTGGTCGAAAGTGACAGTAATTTTACTTAAAATTTTTAGAATTTTACATTGTTCTAAAATTTTCATTTTAAATAAATGCTCTATTTTTAAACTTTCTATTCATCAAAGAATTCTGAAAAAAATGATCCACAGTTGCCACAAAAAAATATTAGGCAGCACCACTGTAGAAAACCAGAATCATTTCGGAAGGATCACGTGGGATCACAAGAAAAATATAAAACCGTTTTAAAATATAAAACCGTTATTTAAAATTGTAATAATAATTCACAATATGAAACTTTTTTTTCCTGTATCTTTAATCAAAAGAATAGAACCAGTGCCATTTCTGAAGCATAGAGTGCACCACAGCTCTGCAAAATTGTATTTGTTCTCATGTCTATAGAGACTCCAGAGACACTCTACCTCAACTGACCTGTTAGAGACACATGGCCTATCTCAGACATGTTTTGAATGAGTTGACGAGTGTGTGTACTGAGGATCAAGGGGCCAAGGTGGAGTATTGTCTGCTGCACAGGGTCCTTCTGTGCTTTCCCAGCAGTAGGGTGGTGGGTAATTGGACCTGAGAGCACGAAAGCTCCAGTGCACCGTGTTCAAAAGAGTCTTCATTAACAAACTCTAAAAGACGCCCCAGAGAGCCTGGGCTGCAGAAATGTGAGTGACAGACTGTGTTCTACCGGGAGTGATGCTGAGCTGTCAGAGACACATACAACAGTGAGACTTGGCAGCATAATCTCCTACAGCAACTCACGTGTTGGTCACGGGCTGTGCAGTGGACCGGCGGTGAGGTGTTGGCCCAAAGACAATGGGAATTGAGAACACAGAGAGGACCTTTAAATTTGCCTGACCCACTTTATCCTTCACCTAAATTAACCACCAATATATGGAGATTCCTGCTGCCAAATCAGTACTGTTTGTGACTGTGTCTGCTGGGCCAGTTCTTTTGCACTCACGTTGGCTGGGGTCAGATGAAGCTCCACGTGAGAGTTTGGCTGCTTGTGGCATGGTGGTCTGTGGTAATAAACCAGACTTGAGTATGATTTCCCTGGCCTGTGCCTTGAGAAATCTTTTTATTATTCAAAACATAATTTGTTTACTTTTCACAAGTTTTTACACAAACGCTGCCAGACAAACTAAATTATATTGTAGTGGTTTTAATATTAGTAATTCAAATCTTTTGAATCCATTCGTCAAACGATTTCTGCAAGTTACTTTGTTACACCAGTAGTAGGTAGCAACAAGTGAGTCACTGAATCATTTAAATGATTAATCTGAGTCATATCATCCTTATTAGCATGTCTACAATTCTACTAGATTACATGATGTCAACTACAAGGCTTTTTTTCCCCCTTACATTAATTTAAGTATATGAAGAGTTCAGATGCAAAAGCCTCTAA